TATGATTAATTACCATCTTTCCCATCCTAATCCAGAGTCTTGAATATCTGTTGTTGTCATCATTTTTGAGTCGTGTCTGACTCTTAGTGACCCTATTTGGGGATTTCTTGGCAAAGATAGTGGAGTGGTTTGCCATTTCCTTCTCCAGCTCATTTTATAGATGAGGAAACTGAAGTAAACAGGGTTAAGTGACTTGCTCAGGGCCACACAACTAGTAAGTATCTGAGGCCAGATTTGAACTCAGGAAGATAAGTCTTTCTGACTCCAGGTTCAGCACTCTATCTCTGTGCCACCTAGCAGCCCTAAGGTAGGACTTGAACATTGCCTTGAACATAGTAGGCAATGAATTGTTTGTTGAATTGAATTCAATCATTCTGCTGTATGTGCCCACGTCATCCAGTCTCTTCTACCTTTCCTACACTCCAGTTGATTTACTGACTAAAAAAAAGAATATTAGCCCAAAGTATTCTGTAACAGGTAGGTAGTTTCTACATCGAGAAGATGAAATGAGGATCAGGCCAATGAGGTCAGTGGGGTTTGATTCTGTCTCTATTAATAGACAACTTAGCCTAAATAAGGGCAGCGAGGTGGCACAGTAATAGAGTGCCAGGCCTGCAGTCAGGAAGACTTTTCTTCCAGAGGTCAAATATGGCCTCAAACACTACTTAGCTGTGTGACCCTGGGCAAGTCATTTAACCCTGTTTGTTTCAGTTTCCTCCTGTGTAAAATGAGCAGGAGAAGGAAATGGCAAACCACTCAATATCTTTGCCAAGAAAACCCCAAATGGGATCAAGAAGAGTTGAACACAATTAAAAAATGACTGAACAACAACAAATAGCCTAGATATACACAGGGAATAGTTAGAGTCTTTAGTTCTTGGGCGGGCCTGTTATTCAGTGAAAAAAAGATCCATTGGTGGCTTCAAAGCACTCTAAATTATCAGTCCATTTGAGGGGATTACTCTACTCACATTTAAGTGAATTTACATTACTGAGAATGCAACTTACAGTTGCCCAGCCAAACATAGCTAAGAGTAAAGAAAAATAAATTCATTTGGAAAGCCCAAATTAAACACTTCCTCAATGGGAATTTCCCTTCATCATTCATAGGCTATTTCTCCATTCAGAAAACAAAGAAAATGGCAACATTGTGCTTTTCCTTGAATTTCATGCTATATAAAGAATTTCCTGGTAGCTACACGATACAACAAAGTCCGATGAAAGGTAACTTATAGGACAAGGTTTGATTCAGAGAAAGAATGTGTACATCCCATGACTAGGAGACCCAGGAGAAAATGACTAACATACGCCAGTAGAAAACATGCCCTTCACCAAGGCTGCATACCATATGTTGTGGCCAACCCAGGTTAAACCAAGGGACAACTTGCCAAGAATTAGTGAGTCTCTCCCAAAAGACTGTCCTTAATCAAATAACAGGTATTGTTGTAATGGGAATAACAGTAATAACAATATCAATAAAGTGCTTTAAGTCTTGCAAAACACTTCACAAATAGCTCATTTTTTTCCTCAGGTAGCTAGGTGACTCAGTGGGGGCCTGGTGTCAGGAAGAGTTCAAATCTGGCCTCAGACACTTCCTAGCTGTATGACCATGGGCAAGTCACTTAAGCTTCTTCACCTCAGTTTCCTCATCTGTATACTGAGCTGGAGAAGGAAATGGAAAACCTCTCCAATATCTTTGCCAAGAAAACCCCAAATGGGGTCACGAAGAGTCAGACATGACTGAAACTACTGGCATATGATACAGTTAGACCTAGAAAGGATCAGGTGGTCATCTAGTGCAGCCCTCTCATTTCAGAGATGGATCCAGAGAAGTTAAGTCATTTGCCCATAGTCATACAGGTAGTAAATAGCACATGAGAGACAGCATATGGAACATAGGAAGAACTCATTTACTTTTGAGCAGAAATGCTGGTAATTTGGCCACTAAATCAAACACCTTAGGCCCTTTAACTAAGGAAGCTTTACTTCATCTCATTCTTCTTTCCTCTTTTTCTTCATTCTAACTATTAGATTATCTTTCCTTCTGGGATTTAATTAATTTATGCTGAATCAGAAGATTCCAGGGCGGCTCTATGAGAGTAAAATAGGCATTTCCTCTTAGAGTTAGTTCCCTTTATAAACGCAAATATCTCTTGAAGGGTAATGCCTTAATAACTTAAGTATTAGGTTATCAGATGCTTTCTAATCCTGCGACTAGATTATAATGAGGCCCTTTGAGATGGGTACAGGATAGGGACCTTGGGGGAAAAGGAATGCCAGAACTAGGAAGACCATAGAAAAGAGTGGTGGAAGGGCACCAGGGACCAGTCCTTGTTGGCACAGTTGTACCCTCAAGGGTGATTTGGAGTTGCTGATTGGGGAATTATATCAATTTCCTAACATACAACAGCTGAACCTGAATTAAAAGAGTCACAGACAATGGTCCCTTTATCATTTCATCCCCTTTATTCCCCATCTAGAGGGAGATGATGGTTTGGTAAGTAAAAATAGAATTCAGATTTTAAACGCTGAGGTCTATACATGCATCCCAGCTCAGATTTTAGCACATGATATTTTTGATACATGCTGCCATCTTGAGCTAGTAGTTAACTGGCCCAACATTTTCCATACAGTACTTTGTGGTATTAGCTCACCAGAAGAGTTTCCATTATTTGTGAAACTTAAAAGACAATAAAATAAAAGCTTATTGCTTGCTTGGGGATTTCTTTCTAATGTGTTAGACATGTCAGTTTAGAATACCTATCTATAAGGTAACATTAACATCACGCACTTGAATCTTCTAATCTATTGTTGTTGGTAAATGTCAACCACTTTAAAACTCTCATAAAATTCCATCTTTAAACTTCATTTTCTGTAACTGTGAGTGATTTGTCCCCTGGAGAGGGGCAGGCAAATTAGAGTGAAGTTGGCACTAGAACTAGGATTGATGTTGAGTGATTACTCAGACAGTGAGGATCCGAGTTGGCCAAGCCCAGCAGGCTTTGACATTGGTTAAGGGCTCCCAGGGGAGCCAGAACTCTTGTGGCAAGTAGAGGGGGTTGGGAGGAGTGGGAGATGGAGAGCCTCTAAGACAGAGCTGCCAAACTTCACCCCAGCCCTTAATCTCCATCTAGCATTCATCCTCCACCCTGCTCTGGTCCCCTGTCTACCAACCCCCTTCCTTCCCCTAGAAGTGAGAGCAGGAGGCTAAAAACAGAGAGATGAAACCAGAGACGGTTTTCCCCCACAGGCAAAGTAAGCAGCTGTCTTTATGGTGAAATGTGAGAAAGAAGAAAAGCCCCTCCACCCTTCATGCCACCCCCCACCCCCAATGCCAAAAATATCTCTCCTATTAGGTCAGCTAGGGTACCTAAAATTTCTAACATTTCTTCCTTAAAAGCCTTAAGTGTGATTTAACTAGATGAGGGCATTATACCTTCTGGAAGGAGGGTAACACCAAAGGCCATGCTGAAATGTTGTTTTAATGGAGCCTTGGAAATAGTTAGGAAATACACACTAATCATAGCTGACATTTAGAGTACTATACAAACATTATCAGGAAGCAGCTGAAATTCAGTGTAGAAATTGGGTTTCGGAGTGTAAAACCCCTCAGTTCAAATTCTGTGTGACCGTAGGCAAGCTTCTTCACTTCACTTCTCTCAGGCTCAGTTTCCTCAAGTGTAAAATGGGGATAATAACACCATCTGCCTCCCAGGGTTGTCAATGGGATCGAATGGTATAATAGACATGAAGGGATGTGATTTCATTTCATGTAAGGAGCTCTCAGATGACAAAACTTCCTCTACCAATGCAGGTCTATGCCTTCTCTACATCTAAAAGAGAGTTGCTGTCAGAGCACTGAGAAGTTTTGACTTGCCTGAGGTCATGCAACCCCAAGATTTATCAAAGACAGGGCTTGCACTGAAGTTTCTCTGGCTTCAAGGCCATTTTTTTTTGTCCAAATATACATTTCACTTCTCACTATGTGAAAAGTGCTCTACAAACCTTAAAGTTTTTAGTGATGTTTAGAGAGTTTTAGTGATGATAATGATTATTATCTCATTGGAGCTTCATGACAATTCTGGAAGATAGGTATTGAATTTTTAGCCCCAGTCTACAGATGAAGAAACTGAGTTTGAGAGAGCTTAAGTTGACTGGCCCATGGTCATATAGCTAGTGAGTGTCAAGGGTGTGATCTGAACCCAGGTCTTCCTGATTCCAAATCCAGCACTCTGCCTACTATATCAGAACACTGAAGACTTATGATGCCTTTCATAAAAACATAAGTAATGATAGCAGGAATGAGGACATTTCCTTGTGGGGCCTCAATATCTCAAAATTATACAGTGATTCCAAATGATCCAATATTAGCTGATTAATTGTATTACCACCAATTTTCCTATAGCCAATGGGACCTAAGAGGCTGTGGGGAGAGGAGGGGAGAGGAAGTATGGGAGCTGAGCCTCTAGTCCTAGATGCTGCAGTAAGTACAGGGAGCAGCAGCCCTGGCTAGGTAGTGGGTGGTACTCACTCATCAGTGTGTACCTTATCACAACCCCCACTCACCACCTCTAAATATACAAACTTTCCAACCATAACTTCCATTCACTGATTTTCTTTTCTTCACCAACAATACTCCATTTCTTCATTTTTGCCATTTAAAATGTCCCCCCGAACCTAGCAGTATCTCTTTTTAGGGCATTTTAGAATTTCTCAAGTTGTAGGATAGACCCAGCAGACTTGACCCTGATCATGCAGTTGCCATGACATTCAGATGATAGCGTTTGGAATCACAGGAACATTTTCCACAGTGGAAGACAAAGACTGAAAACTTGATGGGGTCAAGCATTCTCATCTTACAATTTAATAAAATCTTGTATTATTTCATTAAAATGATCCATCTTTTTTTGTTTCTTTACTTCTTCAGCTAAACTTAATCCATTTTGTGCATTAGTACTCAATTCCTCAGCTGCTTCCCTCTCCCCAGGAATACCGACTTACTTTTCTCATCTCTTGTCCTGTGTAACTGAGAGACCCCCTGGGAGTGTGGGACTGGGGATTCTAATGTTGGATAGGAGGTAGAAGGATACCTTGGAAATATTGCGGGTGCAGTTCCAGTTCACTGTAATAAAGAAAATATCACAATAAAGTGAGTCACATGAATTTTTTTGTTTCCCAGTGCATATAAAAGTTATGTTTATTCTATATTGTAGTCTATTAAGTGTGCAATAGCATTATGTCAAAAGCATACTCTATTGCTAAAAAAAAAAGCTAGCATCATCATGTGGAGCTTCAGCAAGGTGTACTGACGGCTGCTGCCTGATCAATGTGGCAGTTACTGAAGGCTGGGGTGTCCGTGGCAATTTCTCAAAATAAGACAACAATGAAGTTTGCCTCATCATTAACTCTTCCTTTCACTTGAACACTTAGAGACCATTGTAAGGTTATTAATTAGCCGTAATTCCAATCTTTTTTTGTCTCAGGGAATAGGGAAGCCCAAGGAGATGGAGAGAGATGGAGGAACAGCAGGTTAGGTGGAGCAGTCAGAACACATCCAACATTTATCAAGTTTACCATCGTATATGGGCACAATTCATGCCAGCCCCAAAACAATTACAATAGCAACATCAAAGATCATGGATCACAGAACTCCATAACTGACATGTTAATAATGAAAAAGTTTGAAATATTGTGAGAATTACCAAAATGTGACACTGAGATGTAATATGAGGATATGCTGTTGAAAAAATGGCACCAATAGACTTGCTCACCTCAGGATTGTCACAAACCTTCAATTTGACAGAAAAAGGCAGTACCTGTGAAGCACAATAAAGCAAAGCAGGATAAAAGGAGGTATGCCTGTACCTAAAAGGAAAGAAAGCTGCAGTGAAGCAAAGACAAACTTCACCTACTTCGCCATTTACCTGTGACCATACTTAATGACTTTGGGGGTAGGTAAGGGGAGGGAGAAGAGGAGAGTTACCTCAGAATACATTGAAATGAGGCTTGTAGGAGTCCCTACAAGTCTTTGTCATAAACCATCCACAGTTTCCCCATCTGTAAGGGGAAAAAAAAGGAAGCTGGATTAGATAACCTCGAATGCTCCTTCCAACTACATAGGTCTCTTGTTCAGTGGATCTGTGATCTCGTGGTTGTGGGCACTCCAGAGGACTTAGAGGGCCACATGTGGCGTTAGGCTGCAGGTTCCCCGTCCCTGGCTAAAATCATCACCTGATGGCAATCCCACTGAACTCTATCTAGGTTAAAACTTGGAAAAGGGACAGTTTGTTACTAGAACCATGTCCAGTGTGGTAGAACCTGCCAAAACTCACTCTCTACTGATATAACTTTCAGGAACCCAGAGTCCCCTCCACACCAAAGCAGGGATTTTGAACCTTTTCTGTGTCACAGAACCCACGAACAGTCTAGTTGAAACCTGTGGAACCCTCCTCAAAATAATGGTTTTGAATGTACGAAATAAAATACATAGGATTACAAAGCAAACCAATTTTATTGAAATACAGTTATCAAAATTTTTTTTTATAAAAGTTCATACCCTAGGCAAAGTACCCCTCTATCAGAGTCAAATTTTGTGGTTGACCCCCTTGAACCAATGATGTTTTTTCCATCAGCAAACCCCCAAAATGGATATGTGTAGCTATGGATAAAGTGTATGTGTAGCTACATTGCTATGTATCCAGAGCAATTTCACAGCCTCCTAATAAGTCAGATTTCTTCCACATTTTACTGCCTGGAATCATGCACAGATCAGCACCACAAGGTCATGGTCACATTCAGAAAATATGCTTTATGCCTAAGATATCAAAAGTAACTGTGTTTCTCACTGTCCAGGAGTAATGCCACCTTTACTGGCTGCATGCCACGTGTTCTTGCTTACCTCTTCGGGGTGCCCCATTCTACATTCAGAGCATGAAACAACACCAAGAGGGAATAGCATAAGCTGATATGAATTTGACACCATGATTAGCCCAACTTTTAAGGAGGAATTGTCACAGATGCTCGGTGTCAACAGATGCTCAGACTGCTGTTGTTAGAACTGAGTGCTCTCCAGAGGATCTAGCCTCTGCTGTAATTATCAGCAATTGAATAATCCTCACTCTCACTTTAGGGATTAGTCTCCACTTGCCTACCCCCTATATGCTGCCAAGAAGGTTGCATAAAACCAGGGTAAGATGTAAGAAAAGAAGAATATTAAGAATTAAGAAAAGTGTAGGAAGACTTAAAGGAACTGATGTAGATTGAAATAAGCAGAGCCAGGAAAACAGTATACATCATTACTACAATAATGTTAATGGAAAGTACAAAAAAAAATGAAACTGAACACCATGTTGTTGTAATGGACAGAAATAGAAGTGGGGAAAAAAATGCACCACTCTTCTGAATTACAGAGGTAAGGGACTATTGGTGTGGAACATTAGCATTGAACATAGGGTCAGACTTGGTTGAACTGCTTTTTTTTTTTTCTCTAATTTTTAAAATATTTTCATTTAAAGTATTGAGTTCCAGATTCTATCCTTCCTTCTTTTTCCTCTCCCTTCCCTTAGATGGTAAGCAATCAGATATAGGTTATACATTTGCAATTATGTAAAACATTTCCATATTAGGCATTTTGCACAAGATGACTCAGATAAATGAAAAAAAAAGAAAGAAAGAAAGAAGTGAAAAATAGCATGCTTCAGTCTGTGTTCAATTAATATCAATTCTTTTTCTGGAAGTGGATAGTATGCTTCATCATTAGTCCTTTGAGATTGTCTTGAATCATTGTATTGCTGAGAATAGCTAAGTCATTTTCAGTGCTTCATCAAACGATATTGCTGTTACTGTGTACAATGTTCTCCTGGTTCTGTTCACTTTACTATGCATCCGTTCATTTAAGTCTTTCCAGGTTTTTCTGAAATCATCTTGCTTGTCATGTCTTATAACACCCACCACAAAAAGAGCTATTATAAATATATTTTTGTACAAATAGGTTCATTTCCCTTTATTTGGATGTCGACCTAGCAGTGGTATTGCTGGATCAAAGGCTATGCACAGTTTTGTAGCCCTTTGGGCATAGTTTCAAATTGCTCCCCAGAATGATTGGATCAGTTCACAAGTCTACCAACAATGCGTTAGTGTCCCAGTTTTCCCACATCCCCTCCAACATTCAACATTTATTTGTTTTGTCATATTAGCCACTCTGATAGGTATGAAGTGGTGCCTCAGAGTTATTTTAATTTGCATTTCTCTGATCAATAGTGATTTAGAGCATTTTTAACTGCTTTTAAAAAACATTTGTAACAAAGGATGATTTACTGGATAAGAGAAGGGGAAGGATATATTTAATGCAGGTAATATAAAAACAAAAGACATCAATAAAATGCTTAATTAAAAATTTAAACCTATCCTGGGATCAAAATAATATACTTCTTTATGCTTTTAAGAATCTCTATTTAGCTTTCCTGGATCTGGATGGTGGTATCCTCCTTTAAAATTTGTTCCTTGTCTATTTTTTCATATTCTACTTAAATTCTGAAAACTAGCCATGACCCATAGTTTCAGGCTTGGGCTCTACTTCTTCTCTTACCCTTCCACCAGTCTGAACTCCTGTTTGCCAGACTCTAAAGTTCCTGACCAGACAGTACGTGACTGTCTTGGTAGATAATTTATCACAAAAGCCAATTGCTTCTTACTGGTATAATGGCTGGTCTAGAGTTTTGCTTTTTGTTGCTGTTAATTTTTAGTCTTGAATTTGATAGCTTTATCAGACAGGGCCTACACTTCCCAGAAGACCCTCTGCTTGTGTTCCCTGCTCATTTTGGACTTCTGAATATGGACTCTTCCCAACCCCAGCAGCTTGTCTGCTTGGGTTTTGAAATTTGTCCATATCTCTCGGTCTAACCTGACTAGATTCGAAGATCAACTTTCATTCTCTGGACTAGTGGCCTAGCCTAACCTGTTCTGCTACCCCCACCCTTTCTGGACTGCTTAATGTCCTTTCTGCTTATGATATTTTATGTTTTTAAGAGGAAGAGGTGGAAAAATCATGTTCAAATATGTTAAGAATAGAGAGATGTAGACTGAGATTGTGATCTTATCATTGTTGGGAACTCCACTCTAGATATTCTTTCCAGGAGATGCTAGATATAAAATTTCTCCGTCTCTATCATCTGACCAGGGTGATGTGGGGCACTGAGATGTGAACCAACTAGCTTATGGTGTGTCAAACGCAGGACTTGAGTGTGAGTTTCTGTCTCTGTATGATCACTTAACCTCTCAATGGCCCTGGTAACTTTCTACACCTATAAGTTGTGAAAGAGTTGCATATCTACTTTGGTGAAGAGTATTTCCTCTCTAGGGAGTTCTCAGATTCCCAGAACAGTATTAGTCTGAGAGAGACAGAGAGAGAGACAGAGAGACAGAGACAGAGGCAGAGAGACAGAAACAGAGACAGAGAGAATCAGAGACAGACAGAGACAGAGATTAGATAGAAGGTCTTTAGAATCTGATCTTCTGCTTTCATTTACCCAATGACTGAGTTATTTAATCTGTCAGTCACATTTTTAAGAGTCAACATAACAGTAAACTTAGAGTTCAAAGGATCTGAAGGCTTTAGGGAGAGCTTTTGTAAACTTTATGAAGAATCATTTTCTCAGAATGTATATGGTGAGAGTTTCCTGGATATTAAACAGACTTCTGTAAGAATGCTACATTTTTCTTTTTTTCTTGTTTCCATATAGACAAATGGTTTTCCACCTCTAACTCACAATACTAGCATTGCACTTGCATTGTAATAGAGAATTAAGATAACTCTCCATTCCTTCTGGCCCTTGAGCAGCCTGTTACAAAACTGTAGCAAAGACATTTTCTCTTTAGCATGTCAATAGTCCGTCTCCTTTCTAGACTGTTTTTCCCTTCCCTTTCTCTCGGTATGACTTCTTGCCTCAGCTTCCTTACCCTGAACAATTTACATTGCAAACCATATCTCTGCTGTTAAAGAAATGTCAGGCATCCGAGTTCAAGGGGAGAGTCATTTTCTCCAAATGAATTAAAAGCAGAAAAGTATCTAACTTTTAGCATATCTTTTCTTCTTGTTATTGTTGGTCCTTTGTTCTGGAACAGCACCAAGGACATCACAAGGATGAGGTCTTGATTTGGGAATGATTTGGATTTAAGTGAGGCAAATCTTTTCTTAAACTCCAAGTCAATCCCTTACACTCAGGATGCACTTATAAATGTTTATTGAATAGCCTGCTGGCCCTTTTTAGACCTAATAAACTTTGATGACTCCACATAAGAGTGAACAAAAGTTTGAGGACAGATGAAGCAAGGATTTTTCTTGGCAAATTTATTCAGAAAGTGGCCTCCATTCTCCCCTTCACTTTATGTATGTTGACACAGCCAGTACATCTAAGTTGCCAGTGGACTTTGGAATGAGAATAATCTTTATTTCTTTTTAATAAAAATCTATCAACGTTGTGAATGAAAAAACTTAAGAGAAAATAGAACTAACTGTGCTTGCTGAAAAAGTAAAATAATTTCCTATCATAATTTCATTATGTCAAAAAAAAAAAAAAGAAAATAGGGCCTTTCTTTTTTTTTGGCTAGGCAGTGGGGTTAAGTGACTTGCCCAGGGTCACACAGCTAGTAAGTGTTATGTGTCTGAGGCTGATTTGAACTCAGGTACTCCTGACTCTAGGGCTGGTGCTCTATACACTGCACCACCTAGCTGCCCCTATGGTATTTTCTTTAGGAGTGTCACAAAATTCTCAAAGCAAAATTAATTTTTATTCATTTTGATTTCTAAAGAAATTATTCAAACCATACAAAATGTTGGCAGAGGTAAGAAAATAGAATCAAGGAGGATAAGAAATTCACAAAACACCAATGACATGTCCCCAGTTGGTAATCTTTGTATCAGAGGTTGACTTAAGCTCTTCAGGTCATTTTGGGAAAAGTTATCAAGTTGAATGGCATATGAGCAAAATTATTGTTTTTAATTTTTTAAATTAATTTCAAGATTAGAGGCAGCAAAAGTAGTCCCAGAACCTCATTAAA